TCTCTTTTCTTCTTCTCTCTCTCTCTCTCTCTCTCTCTCTCTCTCTTTGTACAAGGATTTTTTACGAGGACCTATTGCGCTAATTGAATATGCAATGTTTATCGGTATGTAAAAACTGAACGTGCGTTATCACACGGCTGTTTCGATGAGTCTAGCATATCCGATGATAAAGAGTCCACGAGAGCGCAATAATCGCATCGCCGAGTCGACGGAAATGAAAGTAAACTACGGATATTTAGCAGAGTTAGAGATACGGATGTAGATTTTAGCATAAGTGTAATCGGGAAAAACGCAAAAATATCATATGTAAATCCGGAGCTTCGGTGTAATCTATCTTTGGATACATTAGGGTGCGAACGGATAAAGGTAGCTTGTTTTCTCTTTAAATTCAAATTAAACTTTAATCGTCTCGAGTATTCGAGTTTCGTTACTTAACAAATTAAAAACATGTGTCTCTATTTAGGAAATATTCGCTGAAAAAGAATCGGTTTTAAATAGAAATAATATGTTAGTTTAATATAAATATACCCATACTGATTTCCAGCTACATCCCCGAACTTTAGAGTAGTGCTTAATCCCTGTCACTTATCTGCGCTATTTAGATATCGCTTTCCAACACGTAGTCTTCGAATCACAATTACACTGCGAATATCATGAAATTAAAGTCCGAGGAAAAATTTTGAGGAACTTGTACGGCTAGCTGTTTATCCGATTGCCCGATCGATAAGGATCTATTTCGTTTCGTTCAAAGAAATATAATCGTAAAATCGAAGATGAAACGGAGATTGAGATGATAGGTTTTTAGAAAACAATCACACTATTAAGTAAACATTCTTGAAATTCATTTTAATTTTACATCATTCCTGTAATCTTATTCTCCGCACAATTCTATATGATATATAATATTTGAAAATCGACGCAATTTCTGAAAATTACTGAAATAAAGTCTAAATTTTATTATAGATCGCACATGTGAAATCCGCGCGTATAATAATAATAATTTTAATATAGGTACGCTTATAACATACGTAATGTTGAATGTCAAACGACAATTATAAGGAAGCTTTTAGTAATCCCTATTTCAGTTCGACGTTAAATTAAAATGAACTTTGTGATAATAAAATTGCCGTAGCTTTTTCCGCGCTTGCAATCCTCTCGATCGTCGCTGCGAGAAATCAGTAGGGGACACGGTCCAGTTAGTCAGCCAATTAAAATCAATGCCGGTAACGAAATGGTAGTCTTTGTCGCTGATGACAATATCTCTCTCTCTTATCGTAAAGCGAACGGTTCCGCGAACGCGAGACAAAATTGCCTAAGTTTTCTCTTGATAAACATGATTACGGATGCGAGTGACGTGTGTATGGCGTATGCGCAGGCACGGAAAAAACGGCAGGAAGAGGTGGAGAAGATCCGACTGGAAGAACAACAAAGGAAGCAACAGGTAATTCAACAATCGTTACTATGTTAATGCTCGACCCGTTTCTTTTCGAGTCGCCTAAAAGTGAGATGTAATATGCAAACGAAAAAAAACGATACCGCGCCGATACCGTTT